GGCTTGTTCAAGTTTCAAAACGTGTACCTCTTGCAGTTGAGGGTTGCAGAAATGGTCTCTTAGTGCCGCTAGACTGAGAGGTACATCTGCTCTCGTTAAAGCGGTAAGTGTCTGGTAAAATCGCAACGCGCTGTCTCGCAAGTGCAATTGTAGAAAGTTGGCTCGTTGATCGTTGGCGATTCCCGCTACTCCCACATATCCTTGGAAGAGCTGTTCAAATTGGGAGAAGTCTTCTGTGTCGCTTCCACCATACGGTTCGACTGAGATTTGAGCGTGCGCCATCTTATCTCAGTTAAATGATAGTCAATTCTGATTCAAAAATGATTTCAGATGAATCAGTCGCTATTTTATAGTGGAAATAATTATTGCCTAGTAGGTTCTTAAGTTTTAAGGACGTAATTATCGTCTCTGAGAAAATATATAGATAGCTCGTACTATGATTAGTTACGAGTCGGAGTTAATTAACTCTTGTTGCTATATTTTTAAACTTTCTACTTTTTAAGTTAATTTGTCTTGCGGCTTTAATATTATTCCACTATTTTTCTTTTTGAAATTTGGTTAGACTTTAAGCACTGGAAAGGTTTTCAGACGGTTCTCATGGATGATTTCAAATGACTAGTTTCAAATGAGCACTCATCAATTTTACTTTAAGCACCGAGAGTTTTAAGTTTTAACTAACTGTTTTTGTACACTGTATCACTTTCCTGGAGAAGTGTGGTAGTTGTCATCAACACAAAACAGTTGACGTTTCCTTTTGCCCCTTGCTGTCGTCTTTCACTGGCTGTAGTCAGTTTCTGTTTTTGCCCCGCTTTTCTGCTGTTTGAGCCAGTTACTGCCGTGATCTTGTTTCAGCTTGTGGCGTATGGAAGTCGTCTTGTGTTGGATGTCGTCTTGTTTTCACTCTCACTTTGCAATCAGCTTCAGCTTGTCTTGAAAGGTTGGTAACATCATCCCACTCATAGTCGCCATGTTATATGTCGTTACTGGCTATAATCGATTGATTTATGTTAAGGGACGTTTCGTATTCTAGAGCGTTGGAGTATGTACGAGTGTTGGATGTGCGGTCTAGGCTTGTGAATCTTCAACTCAGGGATGTGCTTTGTGATGTCAGTTTCAACCTTCTAAGGAACTGGCTTTCTGTTCAATTAAAAGTGAGTATTACTAGTTAAATTGTCTAATTTTGGCGAGCTCCTGATTATAATGGCTCTCTCAATATTACTGAACATTCATCAGTTTATTGTTTACATTAAGCAAATATCATCTAACACTTTCACATTGACTTTTAGAATAGCAATTGAATATTTAATATACTCCAATTATGGTAACTAGTTAAGAATGACTAACATAGGCGAGTAGCACTATGTTACAGAGCCCAGTGGTAGTACTGCAGTGCATCGAGAAAAGCAGCAGAACAAAACTAGTAGAGGGAGTTGGTATTCATATCAGACATGACAAAACAAAAAGTCGTCAAGGTAACATCTGACAATAACATTCAAAAACTTAGCGTACTTTTTAAAATCAAGCATTCATATTTATGCTTAAAACGTGTTTACTAGGAAAAGTCTGAAATCAAGAATACTCAAAGCTGCCTAATTTTCTCATATTGAACGGTGTGCTGAAGTCCTGAAAACATCAATATGAGACCACTATAGCGTAGTATACAAATCAGGGGATATTAGAGAAGGGCGAGAGAAACTACACCAATGAAAGGAGCGTGGTATGAGATTTATCATCCAAAATTGAAGCATCTATTCAAAAACATCTGCAAACGTTGGAAACCGGAAAACATGACAAAATGAATGGAACTTTTGTGAAATTTCATGAGGTACTTCAAGTTAATTTCATAAAGTCTTACCAGAAAAATTGTCAAACTACTTATAACAGAAGCATTGGATGACGAATCGATAACGCAGCAGTTAACAAGAGATACCCGAGACGAAAAAGTGTCAGAAAAATACAACGAAAGCTCCAGGGAAAAATAAACATCAAGCAAGTTTAGTGAAAAAATTATTGATTTAGCGAACAAAAAAATTTTATCACGAGAAAAGTCAACTTTTATCACAAGAAAAGACGCTAAAAATACAGCAGAGTTAATTTTCCGTTTATAAGTTAAACTTGTCAGAGGGAACCATCAGCAATCAAAAAATGATATTTTGGATGCAGAAGTTGAAAAACTCAATATATCTTTAAGCACTGAAGGCGAAAAATTAGTTAAGACCATTACAGTCAATCTTTTTGATACCCATGTTATACTTAATATAAAGTTAAGAGCTCAGTTTAGAGTTTTATATAATAGACTGGCATAAATTGTTGACATAAATGACAATGCACAATATGGGTTCCGAAGCAAACGTGGAACAACAAATTCGTCCTTTGGTCAATTGAAGAAATTCTTTTTTTTTGTGGAATCCTCAATCAAATGAAACAATGTATATTCTTGGACGTCCACAGAGCTTTTGATACTGAAAACCGCAACCTACTTTTGAACAAACGTTACTCTTATGGGTGGGCTACGATGGCCAGTGTATGAAATTATTAAATCTTATTTGTCACATACAGCTTACTGTATTTTTTACATCGTAATGAGGCAAACACCCAGCCAGTCAAATTTGGTGAACCACAAGCATCTATATTAGGTCATCTTTAACTCATTGTCTTCAATAATAATAATATTAAATGTGACAATGACCAGTCAAAGTTAGTTTTGTACGCTGATGATACTGCAGTACAGTATCGACTGTAGAAGAGAAAAAGAAGAAAAAGCCATCAAAAGCTCTGAACCAAATAACGATGAACACAGACAAAAAAGCAATGTTCTTCTCAAAAAAAACACAATGAAAAGTAGAACAGAAAATAAAAGTAATAAGCGCATAAAAAAATTTAGAAATCTTGAAGTTTACCTGATAAAAGATTTGGTAAGGAAAAATATATAAACGAGGTTCAGAAGAAAAAAAAACAGATTATGCGAATTTTTTATCAGCTTAAAACCTGTAAAAAATCGAAAATGTCGAAAAAATGAAAATAAGTAATGGTAGTTTTGAAACAAAAACATGTCAAGACACTAGAATGTGAAATAAGCTTCGAAAGACAATGGACCAAGCGGTAAAAAAAGACGAAACCCTTTAAATACCATGTCAGAAAACCTTTAAGTAAAAAAATCAAATAGACTAAAGAAATATGTAAATTATTTCTTAAGTCCCCATCCACCTCAAAACACATAAACGCCAAAAAAAATTTTGCTTGTCAAATGAAACGATATGAGGCCACGAAGCCGATCAAAAAAGGCCGAAACTTATTAAGCCCAAAGGAAAAACGAAAAAAAATTGAAGACAAGAAGTTATTAGGTCCGCCTCGCGCTCAAAACCCAGACACGCATACACGAACTCTTTTCGCTCAGCAAAACACGCAATACGTGGCCAATCAGCCGATATAACAGGCGGAAACCTATCAAAACGAAAAAAAAAGAAAAAAAAATGTTGTCATGAAAAACTTGAACTATAATTTGTATGGAGACTTTTAGCATTGTGTGCGATCCAGAGGTGAGCATGAAAAAATATATTTTCGTTGAAGCGACTCGAAACTAGATCACTAATACAATAAAAAATAGGTCGAACTCATATTGTCAGAATGAAATTTCAGAGCAAAAAATAAATTATACGAATTCAATGCTAGTAAAATTGCAAACAGCAGAAGTGAATCAGAACACTAAAAGCAATTATGATGTAAAAAAAACTAAGAATAAACAATTCTACGATTGGCAACTCAGCCGAAAAAATATAAGCAGACAATCATTAGCCGACAAATTTTTGAACCGGAATATTTGAACCGGAATAAAAAATAGGTCCTGTCAGATTCGAAACCAGGACCTTTGCCATCCCAGACGCATTCAAAACCTCCAGACTAAAAAGCCGGAGAAGCAACAAAAATCGAATTCATTAAAAACTGAACCTTAAGTTACCATTTCTAATTTTACTTTTCTACGAGCAAAAATATTTACGGGGAAAAAGTCTAGTACCCGATTGCAACACCCTTGAACATCGCAAGGGTAAAAAACAAATCAACTGTAAAAGGGTACAAAACATAAGTTGAACCAATTGTAAAATAGGGCGTAGCTATTTATACTGCTACTATTAAAAGCAAAAAAATTCATTGAAAATAATATAAAGCATTTAATAAAAAATTATAATTTCAAGAACCGATGCGGTCAATAAAACAAATTAGAAATCAAAAACGACTTTATACGGTAAAGGAACTCCACTTTATGTACGACTGAAATTATTAGAACAAGCGTTGAGAACAAAATACCCCCCAGAATTTTAAAATAAGTTTATCAATTACGCTAAAATTACTAATATCAAGACAGGGAGACTGAAAACTCAACAACTCGTCTTTGATAAGCATTCAAAATATTAACTTTGGTGTAGGATGAAAAGGCTTTTCAATTGTATGTCCTCCTAGCTTAGATTTCTTATGTATTTTTTACATATTGCTAGAAATACCGAATTCGACAGGTCCATCCACATGTTTTTAGAGAATTACATTTTGGGCAAAAAATAATTAACGGAATTTTAAAATATTCCAAGCTATGCCTCAATTTTTTGATCGATTCAAAGTAATGAATTTAAAAAAACATCAATTATGCTTAAAAATTCCTATTAAAAGTTATAATACTTAAATGAACCCAATGACATCTTGAAGAAGAATAGAGAATCTGGTTTGTGTAACACATTATACAAGTCGGAGTGTATAAAATTTGAAAGATTTCAGAAAACTTAAACTCGTTTATGCGAAAGTTTAAAATGCTAGACGCCTGAAAATAGAAAATTTTTGTCTATTGGCGATCTACCAAAATGATCGGCGTTTTGTAAAAAGAATATAAAAAAAAGTGATGAAATGTTAGATAGGTTTTAAAAACAATTTATTATGATTACTTTATGAATTGATTATAAGCTTAACTTGACCCAGAGTACACTTAAATTACTATAGCCACACTGATTCAATCAATTCATGCTAAATTAAAAAACAAAAACACAGACAAAACAACTTTTTTTCAGAACTTAATTATATAACAAATAGTCTAAGCGTAAGAGTTCACATCATCGAGAATTCGTTCAACCCTCCTTCGCTTTAGTCTATTGAGAGGGTCTTTTAGGTTCATGTCCTCTTCTTTGGCAGGCAGCAGACACTCCAGCTTCACGGAGGCTAAAGCGGTTGGCTGTGTTGTGATCAAATGGGCCACATCCTCTGCTCTGTAGTGGTGGTATTTACTCTTCATAGCCTTCAGTCTGTTGCGTGCCTCTGCCGCTTTCAGCTGACCAATCAAAATCTCCTGCTTTTCTCGCTCTGTTAAAAAAAGACTGGCATTAACTATGCGCTTCCTTCTTAATTGCTCACTAAATGAACATAATCAACAGACAGTTGGAAAAGAGTCAAGAAACAGAAAAAAAATGTTACGTTTTGGAAAAACCTCAACATATCAATTTCAAAGTAGAAAATTCATGGCCTTTGAATATCAAGAAAATTTTATAATTGACACTTTTTGACACAGAGGCGAAGCGGTGCTTCGCACCACTTGCGATACAACAAAAATGGAACAGCACCTAGCCCAAAAAAAAATAGGACGCAAGCTTAGTCGGAAAAAAATGATCAACAAAATGATATAAAAAATTGGATACATTTAAGAAAAACTACTAAGAAACACGACTGCCAGCGCAAAATAAGCATTAACAATTAAAGTCATTGAGCGGACACAGATCAGGCAAAACATGGGTAGACGACTGTTGAGCCAAAAAAAATCAAAATTGAGCCAAAACAAAATTCCTAAGTGTTACGCCCCTCTACCCTTTCGTAAGCATAAAAGCAATTCAAAAAACTTTGGTGCTTCTTACGACAAACTATGAGCCAACTAAACAGATATGCATCATCCGAAACCATTAAAGCCGAAAAAACCTTAAAGTGAAAAAAAGGCAGAAAATAAGCAAAAAAAAAAGAAACTAATAACAACAGTTGATTTACAGCCAACAATGAAAACTTGAATGGAACGGCCATTTAGAATACAGACAATTGCAAAAACAATCCGTTGACAAGCATTCTGTCCTGTTGCTGTCAGAAGAGTCGTGCTAACTGATTCACTGATTTTGTTGAGCTAGTTGTTCACCCAAAAAAGTCTATATTCCGGTTTGACAACGCTTGTTAATCGCAAACGTAATAAAACGAACTCAATTTGAGAAAACTGGATCAATATGTACAAAATTTGTAACATTGGATTTCTGAAAACTAAATTCCACGTTCGAAATTAGACTTTGATCACGTTTTTCGCGACCTTAACACTTTCGTAGTCAGAGAGCGCAACTTCAAAAAATCATCCCGACCTCTATAAGATTCTGAACTGCGTTCATCGACTCTTAATTATAAAAAACCTGCACACCAAAAGATTCAGATAGGTAAATTATAGGTAAATAATGATAATAGAAGAGGTCGATAACCAGATTTCGAAAACTATCACAAATTCACATAAGCTTAGCGTGGAGAATTTTTTGTTGTTGCATATAACTTGAAAAAGTCCAAAACAAGAAACATGCAAACTGGCAGTAAACACAAAACTAGAAAAAAGGTGGAAAAATATGTGTTAAATATTAATAAATATCTTTGCTTGTTTTTCAGCACAACTTCGACTTTACCAAATACTAACAGGAACCTCATATCTGCTGGATGAGAACAAAGAGAAAAGTAAAGAAACTTGCCCAAATCAATTGGTTCTTTTCCTTTGGTGGCCATTTTCTTCTGCTTGTAGGTCTCTCTGATTCGCTTCAGAGTCGCCTCCTGAGCGTCTAACACATCCTTCGGGGGTTCCTCATAGGCCAAATACTTTCCCCTCTGCACCGCCGGCAGATTTCTCAGCTGTTGTGGGGTCAACTGTTTCCAGTTATGGGCTCTGAAGGGTTCTTCTTCGTCGGCCATTCAGTACCAATTATTATTCTCTTTCTTTCTTCGCGATAAGATAAACAAGCTAACTAATGTCTATCATGACAAACTGAACACGTACAGAAGGCAATGAATTTTTAACAACGTCAGTAGCGTAGACGGTTTTCATTTAGACGCAAACAAAATTACTACATGGTTGCTTAAAAACCAATGTATTTAAATTCATTTATTCACGTGCATCGCTTTTGAGACTATTGTTTGCTTTTTCAAGTAGAACGACCAAATTGAAACATGGATAGATAATAAAGGTAAAAAACACTGAAGATGTTCATATTCCCAGTGTCATAATTAGCAAAAAGATACCAAAATAAGCAAAACTTTTACTAGCTCCGCTTGGGTAAAAAAAGTTGTATATCAATTTAAAAAATTAAATTTGGATTCAGACACGCAGAAAGCTTTCAAATAAGGTAGACGGGGAAATGCTTTTAGGGCACTGAAAAAGCAACACGACTATATTATTTCATTACCTGTTCAGCGGCAGCAATGAGCGAGTTGCGCTGTCTGGTCGACGATGAGGTGTTGCGACTTTGAGCCCTGAAACTACTGTTGGTCATGTTCAAAGACTCGTTCGGCGAGAGTGGCGACCTCGAAACTGATTGGTTAGGGACTGATCCAGCATTTGCATAAGATTGGTTCATTCTTCCACTTGGGGAGGTGTTCGACAGGGAAGATGTCGACATATTATTCAAAGGCGAGGCTGAATTCTGACTGTTATTCAGAAAGGACAGTTGAGAACTATTCTGAGAAGTGGTCAAACGCACACAGCTAAAACTTGTACTGAGCGGATCATTCTTTCGCTCTGAACACGTCAGACTCAGATTCAACTTTTCCACTGGACTTCTAGCGCTGAAAAATGAGCCACTTGTTGGTTTGTCTTGTTTCGCAGCAAACAAAGGTTTGTTTCGAAAAATAAGATAACATAGCAGACACATGAGTGAACTAGCAGAGAAAAGAAGACCTATGCACCACACAAATAAACTTCTCGCCTCTCTCCAATGAAGGAACAATTGAGAAGGGCACAGATAGAATTCCAGGAACGAGAGAGCGGCGAGGGTGGACTGGATGTAGAAGGACTTCAAGTTCATTGCAGCACTTCGACGCCATTTCAGCTGTTGCTCTCTCACCAAAAACGAATTCTCGCTCCTGTGGGAACCAATCGATGTATTGCTCAGTCGGTCTCCACCGGAGCTAGCAGAATGATAATACATACTGTTATTCATATCTGAAAGACACACCACCCTCATATATCAACAATCACATGAAGAGCATAGTTGTACAGAGTTTCACATTTAGCAACACTACTGTTAGCATCAGTGTTGAATGGAACCAGAGTTTAAGTACAGCTACTCGTCACAGACAGGAATCAAATTCATGCTGTTATTACAGAATAGAACAGGATAGCAAAACTAACACATGTACTAAAATGAAAAAAAAACAACACTTTCCATATAAAACTGAGTGGCTCTGACAAGAAATATATCAAAGCCAACAATATTTATTTCTCTCTTATGAAGTTGAGCTGAAAACTCTATTCAATAATAACAGCGATTCATTGTCATAGACTCTATTGCATAAACTCACGAATTTGACAGAGAAAATTAGCGCAGTTTTGGAAATGGTACTTTGAATGAAAGTTAGAAAAAGAGTCGAACCATTTAGAAAATCCTATCTACGAGAACCAACCCCACAAAAAATAAACGGATGATACGTCGAAAATGCAGAAAAATTCAAAATTGGAAAACAAACGAGAACCCATCCGGATTCGACTTCCAAGCCTCGATCGTCTCAGGCATGCGAGTTTCATCTAGCCAAACATGCGCCGAATGGTGCTATCAGTTTAAATGACTTCAAAACAAGTTGCAGCAAGTGGGAACAATTCAGCCCGGTTGCAATAGTCTCCCATTGGAGTAGCCTGGCAAATGGCGAGAGTAAAAAGTACCTAAAGTTAAAATCCTTACCAATCGCAAGGATGAAGAAACGAGGCGAGTATATAATCATTTCAATATAGCCGAAAAGCAACGCCAAAAGTAATGAAAAAGATAATTTCTACCTCTCGGTCGGTTGTAAGGTAGAAATTGAGATTAAAACACAGAGGCGAAGCTTCGCTTCGCAAATACAATCGAGAACACGACAAAAAAGCAGCTCTATAAAGTGCAAGTGAAAGTACAAATGAGCCTCGAATAAGTAAAAATGCTGCTACGTCTCGGGTTCGAACATGCGACTTAGAGGTAAAGAGTCTCACACTTTAACCACTCAGCCACAGAAGGGTAATACTTAATAGCCAAACACGAGTCACAAACAAAGCAGAGAATTAATGCTATGCAATTTCCAATGCTACAGTGAAATTTCCAAATAAGTGTGCCAGTCGGTCATATTTGGAAGTTTGACCTTGAGAGAAGCAAAAAGCACTTAATTTTGGAGTGAAATTTAATTTTTCAAAATTTCGAATGGAACCTGTCATGCACGATTTTCTCGCGATAACTGAAAATCAGAAAAGAGAAGTCAGAACGATAGAGTGACAATCGCGGGAAAGTTGCTAGAAAAATCAGTGGGAAATTGCTATTCGCAATTTCAGTAGCAATAATAATCGAGAGTAGAGCTGTCCCATCTAAAACAGAGACGAGAGCATTCCCACGAACTGGATTGTTGTGATTGGAGTACTATTATCAACTGGACCAGAGTGAACCTTCAGTGGAAAGGTGGACAGCTAGAGTGTCCCAATGGTTCACGAGAACTTACAGTCCAGAGTAAAAACTTGTTCTTGTTATTAAAACTGACTAACATTAAACTCATTTTAGTTACTTTATTGATTCTTGAGTTGCTCACCGACTTATTTACTTCCTGGTTCTTGAGCGTGCTACAATGTGAGTACAAATTTAAATTTCTAGAGTGTGTTTTACAATTGTTATGTTGAGGTAAGGCGAGTTTTAGGTTGATCCATCTGAAATGGATCAAAGTTCCACTGTCTAATAAAAAATAACTTAACGGATTGTTCCGACCCGGTTTTTAATGGCGTTCATGTATTTTGGGTATCTAGAGACCTAAGTATGGGGACGTTTCTAATTCTAGAGTGGGGGGATATTTTAGTAGTAGCCTTTAAGCTGTAACGGGTCGTAGTCTCATGTCACAAGCGAACCGAATTGGCTCCGACTGATTTGAGGTACAAAAACACAAGAGATAGTGTCCCTGACTCTTGAGCCAATGGTTATAGGGCCTATTTTTCTTAAGCCTCATGTGTGACTGCAGTAGACGAATGTTACAAAGTGAACACTTTATTTGCGAGTAGGTTAGAAAAAAGAAGCTTCGTAAGAACACACAAAGTGACGCTAGTATACATACAGAAACAGACTTGAATCTACAAGGAAAAAATCGGATGATGATTTGCTGCGATCAATAAATAAATCCAGCGTAACTGATTTAAAAATTTCAGACTTTTTTCTTAGCTCAATTCTTAGTTCAACGAAAACTTTTACAATATCATTTAAAAATTCCAATTTCGATAACTTGAACATTTTCAGCAATAATATTAGGATGGATGCTACATTTGCAATTGCTGGTAGTAACCTGAGCTCACCCCACCAATGCGTCAAAATTTCAAATAGGTTTTTTTTTAAATTGAACACTTCAAATTTTTGAAAAAACAAAAACGTTATATCTAGGAAAAAAAATGCATTGAGTAGTCATATTTGGAGTCCAGATATAAATTTCCTTAAGAGCACCTTCTCAGTACCCGACCAGTGTTGAGAATTTCAAACTTTGTTACGTTTTTTCAGATTAAGGATTTCGAAAAGTTTTCAAAAATCATGAGTAGTATGCATATAGTACATCATGATCTTTGTTGTCAAACATGCATGACCAGTAGGTAAATATTATAATTTTCACCATGTATTATATGACAACCAAAGGTCACCATGTAAAAATCCTAACTGTCACAATGTATTATTTTATCCCTAATAGTTCCCATGTAATAATACTAATTGTCACCATGTATTAAGTTTTAACTTATAGTCCCCATAAAATCTGCAATGGTTTCTATTTGCAATTTTCACCAAGTAAATTATGAATTTAACTTGAAAATCATAGTGTAAAAAATTTACAGTTGTCACTGCAGCTTGGCTAAATATGGATTGCGCTATCTGCACTCTTTCAACCTTTCCTTCCTTGCTGACAGACATTTTGGACAAAAAAATTAATTAGTACGCAATAATTTATAAATTGAAATGTATATAAAATTAAACCATATTAAGTAAAAATTAATAAATGAGAAATCATATGAGTCATGAAACGTTTCAAAACATCATCACTAACGTATACAAAATCCGAAGCGTCACCATTAAAGTTTGTACTGAAAACCAAAAAAGCAATATAAATACAAAAAGAACCACAAAATGTAGAGTTTGAGTTTTGCATTGGAACTCCTGTCATCAGTTCTATGACTTGATTGAAATTCTTGTTAATCCTTGGATAGATGTTGCTGTATTTAAAGAAAGGGAGACCGAGAGGATCTGCAAAGTAAAACAATTTTTTTCGGAGGCATATCAGAGTCTAATTTAATAAGTTGAGTCATGTACGTTGAAAAAGGTTTAACAGGTCAGCATAGGGATTTCTACAGCAAGTGAAACAGCAATTAGATAATGTATAGATTTCAATATCACTAGCTCCTTATTAGTATTACCGCAAGCATTATAAAACTGTGGTGTCATCAGCAAATGGAACAACTTTTGAATTAGTCCATACATACGGCATATCAATGATATATTAGAAGAAAAAAAAAATTTCCCAAAACCTGAGCCTTTCCTAAAAAAATTTTGTGACATTTTCTTCGAAATCCATAGCAGTGCAATTTTTTCCACAGAATGATAAGATCAATTGAGTCAAAAACTCTCTCAACGTCTATGAACAGGCGTTTCCAAAAAATTTTATCAATTGAATTTTTCATGAACTCTGAAACGAAACAAATCATGAACTCATGATCTTTTTGGTTGAAACCTAAATTGCTCTAGTTTTAAAATGTAACCTTTTTATTGAACGACATTAGTCGTTTGTATACATTTTTTTTTCAATTTTTGAAGAGCTTGGCAGGCTTATGGTTCTATAATTGTTGATATCAAAAAATTTCACATTTCGGTATAGCCATGTCATTCGCCAGTTTAAGACTGAGTAAATACGCCTTAATCTAAACATTCATTTAAAAAATTAGCAAGAGGCTGACGTGTTACAGATGCCGAATCGTTATTAATGCCATTGGCCAGAACTATTTGCACTTTTTCATTTCTTAATTTAATCTACAACTTATTGTTCATTTATGGGTGATAAAGCACACTTTCTAAGTTCTTGGGAAGAAAATTTTTTGCTCAAATTTTCTCCGATGTTAGAGAAACAACAATTAAAGGCATCCACACACACTTCTCTTGTTAACTGTTCATCCTTACAAAATTTATAATATACCTCGAAACTTTTTTTGGCAATTTGACTTTTTCAGCAGAAAAAAAAAATTTTATAAGGTTTTTGTTGCAATTCTTCACTCTTTATACCTTTTATGATCATACAAGAACCCAGTCTTAACCCAACATTTCAGTTTTCTATCCCGTATTTTCATCTGATTTTTGATATTTTATGAAACCAATTATTTCTGTTCTTTTAGTTTCTTGAGAGCACAACTCGTTTAAATTATTAATTAGAATTTCAGCATTTTTTTCTATACAATTTCTAGAGTGTACGTAGTGTAGTTCATGATACAAAAGAACAAATAGTTCAAAATATTACCAGTGGTGCCCAAATTTCGCAAATTTTGTCCAGAAATTGAGTCATGCTCTTTTAGCTCATTTTTGATGTATAATAGAAAAAAGCATTCCATAATGATCACTCATGGTGCAATGCAACGTATAAGTATCAAGCAGTGGAACAGTCGGCGAATTTCCCGATAAAATCGTTCATGTTTTTTCTCAGCTGTGTTTTTGATATCCTGAACAGCTTTAGTGCTTTTAACTACAACAATTTTAAAATGACCAGTGTTTTCATGTCTCGGAAAAACCTTTGCTTGACCATTATTGGTTGTCGAAATCAAGTTCAACTTATCTGCCGCGTTGAAAATCTCGCGCTGTTTCGGGAGGGGGGAGAGCAGCCATTCATTTATAAACATAGGCTTTGAATCTATTGGATTGGACATCCTCGCCAGCCATGATTTTCGCCCATAAATATCGTTCTTTTCCAAAAAAAAACAGGTAAACCTAAATAATTACT